TCTTCTCTGTGTGGTGTTTTTTTTTTTTAAACTGTGTTTCATTGGCCATGCCCTGCATATGCAATGGAGGGTGAACGTTAGACACCAGGCAGATGTTTCTACTCATTTTTCTGTCATTTCCTCCTGCGTTTTGCAAGCATCTGCTCTGCACACATCACATCAGTTCCATGTGTCCCCACAGCTAAGCTGGGTTTTTTCCCCTCTAATTAATTGCTCTCCAGGTTGATTCTTGAGTGGCTCCAGCCAGCTGTTCATGTCTCATTTCCTCCTTCTTCTCCCTAAGCCACTGCCTTTCACAGGGGGATGAGATTGAAACAACAAGCCGTGTTCCCAAGTCCTTCAGGTTTCCATCCAGCGGACGCCTGGTTCCCTGTGACCTGAGGAGGCCGGCGGCCGGCAGCGCCTGAACCCTGAGCCCGGACCGATTCCAGGGCGTTTCTGGGGGGAGCGCGGCTCAGAGCCCGCCCCCAAGGCCCCTTCCCTGCCGCACTCCGCGGCTTTCCTGTTTGGAGGGCTCTCCAAGGCTCTCCAGACACATTTGATCTCTGCCAGAAAATTAGCTCCTGGAAGCATTTTTACTGACTAATTTTTTTAAGTTTCATTGTTTTGTATCTGCGCAAGATTTGACAACGTAATTGCTTATATACCATCAGAGTGGATGCTCAGCAAATGCTGAATGGGGGAACTGGATCAAAACCTGCCCATTTTAATTAGAAGTGGCCGAGGTCCTGAAATCACCCCCTGTCCCAGGTGCCAGTTCACGGTGTGACAGGGTGAGCCCAGCCTCTGGAAGGACAAAGGCAGCTTTGTGAACGACAAAGACCTTGGCACAAAGGCCAGGAAAGGACGGACAGCTCTTGAGATGTCAAAGTAAATGTACAAAGCCTGAGTGTTAGCTGGGATTTTACTCTGTTTATTTCCTTTTACTTATTTTGCTTTTTTACATTTCAGATATACATTTTGGTGCTTAATATAAGCGCAAAAACAAAACCCCCTGATTCCATAGAACTGGGTCCCTGCGGCGGCCTCTGCCCTAGTAATGGGCTGGTGCCGGCAGGCCGGCTGCCTGGCGGAGGCCCCGCGGACCTTCCTGCTCCCGGCCGGATGTCACCGGACACCGGTGACCACGGGGTGCTCTCCGCCGCGCAGGGCCGAAGCCGGTTCTCTGGGCGTCGTGCTCTCTTCTTGCGCTCACACGAGGGGAAAGACAGACTTTTTGAGTCCTGGGAGCAAACGAGTGCCAGGGTGAGCGGTGGGGCTGGGTGGCCTCCAGGGACACAGAGGCGGCGCCTTGCAGCTGCTGACAGAGGCAGCCTTCCTGAGCCAAGGCGCGCGTGGAAGCGGCTCCTGGGGTCGGGGGGTCGGCGGGGAGGAACACGGGAGGAAAGTAAGACTGACCGGACGCCACGCCGGCGCTGAGAGCCCGCAGGTGCGCCAGATGGCAGCTGGGGTCCAACTCTGGAAGCTCGGAGTGAGCGCGCTCCGCTCCATCCCAACTCCGCACCCTTCTCCTCCTTCTGACTCACTCATGTTCGAGAATAAAATGTAAATTTCGGGTTGAACTACATGTATGAAGAAAGCATTGTTTTCTAGTGCTCATTTTAAAGTGAATGAGTTGGTTGTTTTGTGCTGCTCTGACAGAATCTTAAGACGGGAAACCATGGGTATTTTCTTTCTTAAGAGTTCTAGTTCTTTGGAGATAAAATACTTCCTTCACTGCTACTTTAAACATAATTTGTGAGTTTTTCCCTCGTGGTAACACATGTCTTTTCTCTTCTTAATTATACCTTAGAGTCTGTTTTTCAACTAAGATGAGCATTGTGCTTTTCCTGTTTGAACATCATGTTCATACCAGTCGTAATCAATGCTCATAATCACGACTGTGATCATTCTGTGACACCATTGTGAGAGTTAAACACTGAGCTGATAATCATGGTACTTGTGTTATGTTTTGGATTTATAATAGCAGCTGTTATTTATTAAACTTTTCCTATTTGCTGGCACTGGTCTAAACTTTTTATATGCATCCTCTTATTTAAATGTTATAATAATTCTACAAAGCAGTCCATAGTATCCCCATTTCAAGGAGGAGAAATCCAAAGTGTAGTGAGATCAAGTAAGTTGCTCAACTAGGAAACGGAAGAGCTGGGATTTGAACCGGAGTCTCTGACCTCAAGCTTCGCGTGTGACCTCAAGCTTCGATTCCCCGTGCTCCACTTTTCCATGGGCATCAACCAGTAACTGTGGGCTTTTGTTGGGTAGCTTTATTGAGGTATAATGGGCATACAGCCAAGTGCACATGCGTAAAATTTTAAAGTTGGCCACCTTGATACAGGTGTGTGCCTGGGAGGCCATCACCACGGCAGGGGCGTGAGCGTACCCTCCCCTCGAGGCCTCTCAGCCCCGGGGCCCCCCGATCTGTTTGCATTAGAAATTCACTTGTGTTTCTTAGAGTTTTACATAAATGGAATCATAGTATTTGAATTCTTTCACTCAGCGTAATTAGTTTGAGACTGATTGATGATGTTGGGCGTATCGACAGTTTATTCCCTTTCGCTGCTGAGTACTAGTTGGCTGTGCGGCTCCTGCAGCGGTGGTTTATCCGTTCACCTGTTGATGGACGTGTGGACTGTCTCCAGCTCAGGGCTGTTATAAAGAAAGCTGCTGTGAACACCTGTGTACACATCTTTGGACATACGCTTTTGTTTCTTTTGGGTAAATACCTAGGAATGGCATGGCTGGGTCACGTTGTTGGGGTGCATTTAACAGTTTAAGGAACTGACAGACCGTTTTCCAATGCGGCTGTGTGGTTTGCGTCCCCGCCAGCAGGCGTGGGAATTCCAGTTGCTTGTCGTCCTGGTAAACCTCGGGTGGCCCGTGTTTTCCGTTTGGGCCATTTTAATGGGCGTGTAGTGGTGTTGCAGTGCGTGGGGGTTTTCATTTATAACACCGTGAAAATGTTGTCTTCCAGCTTGCCGTTTTCGGGCAAGAAACCTGCTGTCCTTGTCTTTGTTCTCTGTGCTAAGGCCCCTCTCGCCCCCTGCCCCCCGCCTGTAAGAGTTCTCTCCTGTGTCACACAGTGTGATAGTGGTTCCTTGGTGCGCTTTTCCCCGTGTGTCTTGGACGGAGGGTTCTTTGAGCTCCTTGGATTTGTGAGTTTACAGTTTTCATCAAATTGGGAAAAACGTTGGCCATTATTTCTCTAAATATTTGTTTCTATCCCCCTGCCCCTCCCCAGCTCCCCACATACACCAGGGACTCCAGATGCGCATCCGCTAGGCCACTTGCCGTGGCTGCCGTGGCCTCCCAGTGGCCTCCCAGCCAACTGGCGCCCGGTTCCTGCCCCCTCTGTCGCTGTGTCTTCACGTTGCCGAGCTCCGTGGCGCCTGCTCTGCTGGCAGTTAGCTGCCGGGACTCTGCATCCTGTGCACCCTCTTTCCTCCGGCTTCTTGGTGTCCTCACCTGCCGGTTCTGCCGCCAGTGACTTCTGGGTCGGTTTTCATTGATTTGTTGTTTCCTCATTATGGTTTGTATTTTCGTGCTTTTTTACATGCCTGGTATTTTTACAATGCCAGACGGCATTGCTTGTTAGATCTTGTATCCTTATAAAATATTCTTGAGCTTTGCTCAGGGATGTTGTGAAGTTACTTGGAAATGGTTTGATCTTTTCCGGCCTTGCTTTTAAACCTCACTAGGTGGGGCCAAAGCTAAGTCTAAGATTAATGCTGGTTTCCCCGCGCGGAGGTACAGGAGTGCACTGCTCTGGGAGCAGGTGTTGCGACTGGCCTGTGGGGGTGCCAGCGAGCCTCTCAGGGATTTTTTGGGCCTCGGGCGGTTCCCCGACTCTGGTGTGCGGGTCAGGGCTCAGGCAGAGGCCCAGGGGACGGCTCTGGCGTGCATGCGGCGCCCTCTCTCCGGATCGCTCTCTTCTCCACGCTCTGCCCTGCACAGCGTCGCCGGTGAGTTGCCTCCCTGGACTCCCAGCCGAGTGTTCATGGCTCAGGGAGCCAGCCCCCTGGGCTCTGCCCGCAGCCAGAGGGTGCACCTCTCTCCCACCAGCCAGAGGTCATTTTCTGTCATGGCCGCATTTCCATTGTCAGAGAGAGAGAGAGAATATGAATATGAATGTGAATGTTCCTGGCAAGTCTTTAAGTTATATCTAGCGTCGGTAACTTTGTTGGTTCTGGAGGGGGATTGAAAACTCAGTGCTCTGAGGTCTGCTGGTGGCCCTGGCTGCGACCGAGCCGGAAGGGCCGCCTGCGTCCTCGGCTCTGCTCGGGGAGCCCCTGGCAGGAGTGACGCCATCCCGACGGCAGAACTGATGGCTGGTTTCCTCTGCACCTTTTTGGTTTCAGATTCATGTTTCCCTTAATCTTTTCTTAGAACATCCTACCTACTCACAGTTTACATCTCTTAAAAAATCTGTTCCTTCTCGTGGAAGACCTGGCATTCTCTGATAAAGAGATTGACGGTGCTGAATTTTGATATGAGATTTAAAAGCCAAATACGCTTGTTATGATTATAGAATAATCTTTTTGCCAGATTCATCATTAGTATAATGCCATTGAAAACTATTTTCAGCCCTAGGTAATTAACATTTTCAAAGTCTGTGTTCTTTAATATAAAAATAAAATATACTAAGTGTTAAAATTTTAGAACATGTAAGAAAGTGTAAGGAAAGAGAACATTTTAAGTTACCTACACGCTCATATCTAGAGATAACTATCATGAATAACCTGACATACTCCCTTTTGCCTTTCTTGACTTTAATTTTATTTGTCGATTATGGTTGGCATTCAGTATTACTTCGTACTGGTTTCGGGTGCACAGACCGCATTGCAGTCAGTCGGGCAGTCAGGTACTTGATGAAGTGGCTCCCCAGTATTTCCGGCACCCCCGGCACCAGGCACAGTTACGACAGTGTTGTTGGCTGCGTTCCCTGTGCGGTGGTACCTCTTAGATGCACTGTTTCTCAAATCGTTCCCCACTTTCCATTTTAGTGGAAGACGTACAACCCTGCCTTTTCCCGGCTGGAAATCTGGTTCCGGTTCGTCTTCGTGGTGCTCACCTTCATCGTCACTGTGAGTACCACCGCCCGGCAGCTGCGGCCGGCGCTCACAGGGGCGGAGTCAGTCTGCGCATCAGGACGACCCAAGCGTGGGCCACGCAGGAGGCCGGTCTCAACTCCGAGACCCCGCGTCCGGAGCGACCTGCTCTCACTGGACGTTCTGCATGTCACTAGGACGCTGCAGGGCGCAGGGCAACGTGGTCTCTTTAGTGAGGACTTGTGTCACGGGATAGCGGTCGCAGGCCACCCACTCGTAAACTCCCGTCAGCGCACAGCAACCCGGCCATTTACCTGCGGGGCAGGCGGCTGCCTTGCGTGGGTGCGGACGCAGCTCGTACTTGGGCCTTGGCATGTGGAAAGTCGATCCCAGCTTTTCAGCCTCCGGGCGTTTTGGGAGTGGGGTCCAGCTGGGCAGTTTTGGGGTGCAGGCTGTTGGCCGATGCGGGCGCTGAGCTCAGCATCCCCAAGCACAGGGCTCTTTGGGAGCGGCAGGGGACAGGGGGTGCTTCCCTGTAGCGCGGTGGCGGTCCCCAGAGCAGCCCGGCCAGTGAAGTGGGGAATTGATGGATCAGAGGAGGAGGAAGGTGGCTTCTCGCCATCTGAAGGGCAGCCGTCTGCCCGCGTCAACTGGCACAGAGGCGGTGACGTCCAGGAGACGGGTCTGGTCTCCCCAGTGCTGTCCCCTCCTGGTGCCACCCGAGGCACACCCGGTGCCTTGCAGACTGACCGTATGTAGAAAGACACGGCTCGGGGGCAGGAGAGAAGTGCCAGGCGGCGGTGGCTGGGACCGGGGTGTGGACGGGGGTGGGGCACTCACTGGAGTGAGCTGGGGACTGTGGTCTCAGGCCATGGCCAGGGCTTCCCTAGTGAACTGACCACAGGACAGTGGAGACCCGCCACTTCTAGTTGGTCAGTCAGAAATCCTTGCTGTTTTGGAAGCTTCTCTGGTGCCGGGGATTCTGCTCCCACGTGTTCTTACATAAGAGAAAAGGCCGGAGCAGAACAGATAGCCGAGGGGACAGGGCCCACCAGCCAGGAAGTCTAGATAGCCCAGAAAATTGTGGCTTGTGTTAGATAATAGAAAATCACCCCAGGCACCCGAATCACAGATTGTATAGTGCTTGAAAACGGTCTGCGGAACCTGCTCCCACTGGCCACCATGCCGCCTCCAGGGGCCTGTGAAAACCAGCCCACCCCAACCACGGCTGTGGGCCTCGTTCCCAGACGTCTCTGGAGCCCTGGTCCGCCCGCCGGTGCCGCCTGGCCAGGGGCGCGAGGCCTGCGCCTGGGGCAGTTCTCTCCGTGTCCCTGTTCCATTCCTTGTCCCCTCCTGCGCCGTGAGAACAGCTTGTGACCCTCCGACCCGGGCCCCTTTGCCATGCACCCTCCTGCCTCAGCTGTCACCCATGGTCTCTGCGGTCAGTCCAGTGAGGGGCGACCTCAGGCCCCGCGCAGTGACCGCGGCCGGTTTGCTTTGCAGTGCCTGTTTGCGCATTTCCTCCGCAAGTTCTCCATGAGGGACTGGGGCATCGAGCACAGGTGGATGTCCGTCCTGCTGCCCCTGCTGCTGCTCTACAACGGTAGGCGTCGCTTCTGTGCGGAGCTTCGCCCTTGAAAACGGAAAGCGGGGGGCGGGGGTGCCGCAGCCCATGGGGGATGCCGCGCCAGGAGTTAGAGGTGCTGGAGCCTTCACAAATGAGCGACCGCGTTGGTGGCTGATGCTCAGCAGGGCTGCAGATGCAGTCCCCTTGGGACTTGGCTGAAGGTGGCACCCACCGCCGCCCCGTTCCCCTCCTGCTCTGGAATGCTGCCGTGGGGCTCCCAGGCCTGTGGGGGAGCGGGTGGCGGGAGCAGACGGCATCTGTAGCCGTTGCCGGGGCCACCGCCCGTCACGGCCTCTAAGAGTTTGGCAAAACAACAGCCACGGGCGCGTGCGCCGCCCTCAGCAGGCTCCCCGCTGTCTGCGTTCCAGATCCGTTCTTCCCGCTCTCCTTTCTGGTGAACAGCTGGGTGGTGGGCCCGCTGGACGACCTCTTCCAGTCCGTGTTCCTGTGCGCCCTGCTGCTCTTCTGGCTGTGCGTGTACCATGGGATACGGGTGCAGGTGAGCCTCCCTCCACCCCGCTGGCCCCGGGGGCGTCTGGGAGGCAGCTGGCCTTGGGGACGTGTCCTCAGCCTTGTGGCCGCAGGAAGGACACACGCCATATACATGCTCCGAGGGTCTGTGGTCCCACGCAGTCTGTTAGGTCAGTGGTTTGCCAGAGTTACTAACGTCCCATTCCTCACTCTTTTGTTCTTGTTAGGGAGAAAGGAAGTGTTTGACTTTCTACTTGCCTAAGTTCCTCATCGTCGGACTGCTGTGGCTGACTTCGGTCACACTAGGGATATGGCAGACGTGAGTAGTTCTGTTACGTGTGAGACCTGTCCTGGAAGCATGTGGCACTGTGGACAGATCTGAAGTCTAACTGTGTTGTGAACTCACCCGGCAAGGAATCTGTCCCCTGGAGTTGGAGGACTGGGTAGCGAGAACTGAAGGTTCGTTTTTGCTAGAATGGCCCAGGGAAATATGCACGATTCTTCTAACCTGAGATGGAAAATGGGAAAGACGGCGTTGCTTCCAAGTCCTCCTCCGGGGAGGCCGGCGCGCTGTCGGCTCGAGCCCCCGGTGTGCCAGTGGCTCCTTGGGCTGCATGTGTGGCCGCCCCCGCCTCACCCCTGACCCCAGGACTTTCCTGTGCTTCCCTAAGATCCTGCTAGCAGATTTTTCACAGAAAGGAGTTCCATTTTAGGGGTGTGATTTTGGCCCCTGGCACTGGGCGGAGCTCACCCTCCACTCCCTCCCCCGCCTGCCTGTCACCTCACGTCCAGGCTCACTTCACAGCGAGTGTCCTGGCGGTTTGGGTTTACTTTCATTGCTGCTTTTGTGTGCTCATCTCTGCGGCGCACGTGTGCAGGTCCCGGGGAGGTGCCTGGCGCGCAGCCCTGATAAGGGCAGGAGCAACTGTCCGGAGATTTTTGTGACGGAACGGACCTCACTTCCCAGGGGTGGTGGCTGCGGATGGTTTATGTGCTAGTGCCGTAGGCATTGTCAGTGTGAGACTTAGGCCTCCTCGTAAATTCACGATTACTTTTTAAAAAATTCTTTACTGTTGGTTAGTCAGTTGTTCATGTTAGTAACTTTTCAAAAATCTAAGTGGAAATATAAAACAAAGTAAATTAGTTATTAATCTATTTTTTTATAATGTATTTTTAGAGTTAATGAATTACATGACCCGACGTACCAGTATCGAGTTGACACAGAAAATTTCCAGGTAAGATTCGTTCATGAAGGACGAGGACTGTTTTTTAGTGTCGTTTTTAAAAATTGTGCTTTTGACATGAACTTGCTAACTGGCTATTTGGGAAGGACTATAGAAAGTCCATGTGGAAAGTTTAGAAAAATGTATTTGAGTATGAAAAGTAAACCTTTAAAAACTATGTTGTCACTCCCAGTCCTTGGTTAATGGTTGAAGCTCCAGGTCCAGAAGGTGTGTCAGACTTTAGCAACATTGTAGAACAATTAAGAAAAGATTTTTGTTCACTTAATTCTCTAAAGTGGCAGGAGGTTTCCAGCAAGTGAATGGCGTGGCTGGGGCCTCCGAGCGGCGCTGTGTTGTCCCCGTCCGGAAATTCTTGTCCTTTTTGAACAGGGCGTCCAAGCGTTTTCATTTTACACAGAGGCCCAAAAATGACAGTGGGCCCTGCGGGTGGCTTTCTCTGCACTGGACAAATGCTGGGTGCCCTGAAGCGCAGGTGGCCCCTCGGAGAGGCATGGGGCAGCCCCAGAGGCACGAAGCTGAGTCCTGACCGTGGGTGACGCCCGCACTTCTCTCTGTGGCTCCGCAGAGCCCCTTGTAAAGCGATGAGATCGGCGGTTCTTTGTGGGGCAGCCGCCGAGGAAGGGGATGGCTAGCGAGTGACGGCTGAAAAGATGCTGAGCTTGTGTTGAGACTGTACATACGTGTCTTAGGAAAGAGGGTGAGCAGCCCGATTCTTAACTGGAATCCGGTAGGGGGTGCCCGGAGCCTTCCCAGTCGATCATTTATCCCTCCGAGGAGTTTGGAAGGTCGCGGAATGTGCGCCTTAGGAACAACGTGCCATGACCTTTCTCCTCAAAGAAAAGGCACAGAAGATAGAGACCAAGATCTCTGAGTGGGCACCCTGCCCACCCTGGGCATCTTAGGGACAGCATCCCAAGGGACTGGAGGAGGGGGCATCTTTGTGTTTTGTCCTTTGTCTTTGTCTTTTAATGAGCCTAATGCTGGAAAAGGGCTCCCGAGGGAGGGGCCGCATCCTGAGCTGGGGTGGGGGGTGGGGGCGGGGCCCATGGGGCAGCCGCCTGTGCTCACAGAGAGGGCGGCAGGCCAAGCCTGGGCAAGGACAGCCTCGGCTGCGGGAGCGCCTTCCTGTTCTGCCTTGTGTGGCGCCCCTCGGGGCTCTGGGTCCCTTTTGAAAAGCTTTGCTTTCCTGCTCGCGGGCTGGTACTGGAAGGCAAGCCGCTGGCGACCCTGCTCGTACCGCAGCGCGCATGTTGTCTCCTCCCAGGGGGTGAAGGTTTTCTTCGAGGTGGTAGCTGCTGTGTACGTTTTATACCTCCTTTTCCTGGTAGTGCGGGCCTGCTCTGAGCTTCGCCACATGCCTTACGTAGGTAAGTGCCACTGCCCCGTGCCCGGAGGGGGGGGCAGGGGGGCGGTTGGGGCAAAGTGCACACGGGTGGCAGAGCGGACGGAGGCCACCAGGCAGGCGGCCTGACCTGGAGAGGGACGACCTGGGGACTCGTCCCTTTCCCACAGGCTGGGCCCCAGCACCTCGGTCCCTGGGGAGCCACAGCGGGGCTGAATGGGTAACTCGGGGCCACGTGGACAGAGCCCCGGGCTGGTGGGAGGGAGGCCCGTGGATGTTGGAGCTGCCCGGATCCTTCCAGCATCACACGCTGCAGGGGGGCCTGCCAGGGCGCTTTCCTTAGTCTCGAGTCAGGAAGTCACCTGGGCTCGTGGGATCCTTTCCTCCAATTTATCACAACAAACCACAGTGGCTGTGGCCTTGCCAGGGACCCACCCTCCCGGACTGCGGAGCGGGAGGCGGGACAGCGCTTCTCCTGGGCTTCGGGTGCAGGCAGGTTTCAAACCCAGGCGCACGAAGGGGTCTTGTTCAGGGGTTTGCTTTGTGTTCATCTGAGATGAAGTGGAAGGGACTTCCAGGGTGGTTTAATGGGAGTTTTTTTCTCTTTTTCAGATCTCAGGTTAAAATTTTTGACTGCATTGACTTTTGTAGTGCTTATCATTAGGTAAGAAAGTTTATTTCATAAAAGAAACGAAACTGCATTTTTATTTATTCTCACAGGTGTCTTTCTCCCCTTTTACGGAGTTAATTTTAAGGTCCTTCTACTCAGATGCACTCAGTGTCTAGGGGATAAAGAGTGTTGACTGCAGTGTGCTGACCCCAGGCTGGGTCAGTGACTGACCTACTCTGACATTTGCCATGTGGGGGGAGGAGACAGTCAGCACGTGTCGTTAGAGTCCCATGTGTGCCCTTGGCCCCTGGGGCCCTGCATGCTCCCGGGACAGGACCGAAGCAGGAGACACCACTGGACTGCCCGCGCCCACACGGCCGGGCCTGAGAGCCGCACTGGCGGCGGGTGCTGAGAGCGCTGGGGCGTTGCCTCTGAATGACTTGCAGGTCGTTGTTTGGCTGTTTATGGTTTGTCTTTCTCCTCATATCGAAATCCAGGGAAAAAATGCTAGTTCTCTGCATTTCTTTCCTGGTTATTTGGATGGCGAGTCAAGTGGCTGTCTGCCCTGCCCTTTGCCTGGAGGAGCAGCAGGAGACTCGGGCTGGCCCCGCCCCTGCCCCCCCCCCCCCCGTTGAGTGGGAGGGGCCGTGGCGTCCAGGGCCGTGCCCCGCCCTCCGCATGTGCACCCAGGTGTGAGTCTGGGCCTGGACCTGGGAGCGTCCTTCAGCACTGACCTCACGGGGAGGGGAGGGCGTCATCGCCCCCATCGGTCTGCAGCGCGCGGTGCTCACGTCAGCTCCAGGCGTCTCACGTTCTCGCCCGCACTCCCCGGTCCACACACACTCCCCGCAGCCCTCGCGTCCCCGCACCCGCGAGCCTCTCGGTCCATGGGCCCGGGGCCACTGTGTCCTCGTGGTGATCTCTGCACAGCCTGTCCCAGAAGCCGTTATGCTTTCTGATTTTTGTCAGAAAGATCCAAGGGGATTGGTTTACGTTTCCCACCAGTGTTCACTGAGTGCCCGTGCTGGTACACAGGCAGACAGGTCCCGCCCTGTCATGGCCTTGACCTTCCCACGCAGGAAGACAGCAACGAACACGCAGTGAACACACAACAGGGCATGATGGCAGGAGGGACGAGGCTGCTTTAGACGGGGTGGGTCGGGGATGTCTCGCGCGATTTGGCCCTGAAAATACATGGGGCTGGCTGCCCGGCCCCCGGGACAGCAGGGGCTCAGCGAGGAGGAGGAGGAGCAACAGCGTCCTAGGAGGCGAGGGGGCGAGGCAGCTGGCCGCCACAGAGGTCAGGCGGCCCGTGGGCCGGTGTGAGCGGTCAGGGCACCGTTCCCTGGGTGGGTGCAGGGTGTAGGCCGCAGGTGCAGGGGCCTCGCTTACACGTGTGTTCCCAGGCGCCAGGCTGTGAGGGGCGTGGGGCCGGGTGGAGGGTCAGGGCCGGGCTGCAGAGCGCCCCTTGCCAGAGCCTCGGTCACCGTGTGTCCGCAGCTGGGTCTGACCTGGGGCGTGAGACACTGTGCCCCGGGGGCCGGGGGGGCCTGCGATTATGGAGAAGCAGACTTCCCGGGACAGCTGTGATGGAAGGTGATGTTCTTGACGCACGAACCAAGGGAACGAAAGAAGGAGGGGGACATGCTGAGGGCGAGTACCAGGGCGGCGGTTGGAGACCTGGACCTGGCCGACGCCCGGGTCAGCCGACTGTACCAGCAGCTGGCTCCTGGATCTGAGACCGACAGTCGCCAGCCGGGGTCGGTGTGCGTGTGTGTGGACACGTTTCTGTGCAGAAACAACAGTAACGAGGCCGTGACTGTTAATAGGGTGAATATAGTGACGTCCACGAAGCTAGTGCTGTTTGTTCGTGTATTTTACATATTTCTCTCCTTTTTTTCAGCATCGTCATCTTTTACTTAAGGTTTGGAGCACAAGCGTTACAAGACAATTTTGTAGCTGAATTGTCAGCTCACTACCAGAATTATATCCTTTTCACAGGAAAGCAGCAGGCGTCAGGAATGCGCACTGGGTGGAGCGGCTAGAGTGTGAGGCCTCTGTGCATCGGGAAGAGGCGGTCGCCTCCGGGGACCTGCACCGGGGAGCCCTGGGGGATGCCCGCCTGTCTGCAGAGAGACTCCCCTGGGCCCTGCAGCCCCAGGGGCATGGTTCCTCGTAGGCAGCAGCGGGGCTGCGGGTGGGGGACCGGCTCCCCCGCGGGGGCGGGGGCGGGGCGGCGGCGGGGGTTGGTTTCGCTCCCAGGGACCCAGTGTCTGCAGCCGCTGTCAGCCTCTTGCACTGTTACCCTGAGGTGTCCAGCTACAGCGCCACAGGGCACGGCAACTGGGGCGGCTGAGGCCTGCCTCCGGGAAGGGCTTGGCAAGCAGCGGGACCTCCGTGCGCTCCTATGCGGGCGCCTGAGGCCTGGCCCCTGCAGTGGCCTCCGTCGGGTGCCTGAGAGGCCGAGGGTGTGTTTTATAGCTGCCTTGGCTGTGGGGGCATCCACGGGATGCTCAGGGGTCAGTCCTTGGCTTTTTGGGTTCTTTCCTTGGGGCTTCTGGCATCCTTAGAATTCACGCGTGGTTTTCCAATTTGTGTGACTGAATTTCACACTAAACTTTTATTAGATTCTCAAAGGGGTCTGTAATCCAGAAAAGGTTGAGAATGACCTGTCAGAGGGTCTGTTTCCAGTTCTTCATTTCCTTCTTGACATGGCCTTCTTGCCCTCTGCTGAGTCATGTTGGGTCTTGCCACCTTGAGAGGCTCCCATGGGTGGCAGAGAGCACGGTTAACCTGTTGCTTGCAGGTGACCTTGAAAGGTTACGGAACCTCTGGCCGTGGGCTTGCCCTCTGGCACCCGAAGGTCTGGGTTGGGGGTCCTGAGGTACTCGGCGGTCAGCCATGGAAAGACTGACTGGTGGTTAAGGAGCAGGCAGACTAGAGGCTGAAAGCAGAGCGTCCGGACCTGCTTGCTTTCCTTGACAGTGTCACCAGCTGAATTCTTATCTTTCTATGGCTTGCTGAACTTTTACCTCTACACGTTGGCCTTTGTGTACTCGCCCTCGAAGACCGCCCTGTACGGTAAGCCGCCCGGGGACAGCCAGCCAGGAAGCTCCGGGCGTGCCTCCCGGGTTTCCCGTTAGTGCCAGGGCCCAACCTGCAGAGAGGGACGGGGCGCCTCGATGGTGAGCCCCGGGTCCCGGTCACCACGCAGCACGGGCTGCGTCACTGCAGCACAAGGGGACCACACCGGGTGAGTGGGCCCCGGCACAGGCGCCTGTCCTTGGCCCCACAAAAGCAAGCCTGTTGAATGCTCGTGCCCTGACCACGCAGGAAGAAGTCAGCATGTGCAGCCCTCCTCACTAGAAAGCACAGCCCAAAACAGCAAAACCGCCCAGTCACACAGGGAACAAGCAGGATGAGAACTTTCTGGAAGGCAGGCAGGGGTCCTGCATGTCAGGACCACCCCCATGTCCTGTGAGTTCTCAGAGCACCCTCATGAAAAGCCTCATTTGAGCCTCACAGCCACTCTGACGCTCCTGTTTAGGGAGGAGGAAATGGACGCACAGCAGCTCGCTGTGGCCGAGGAAGGGGGGGGACCGGGCGGGGGACCCAGGCCTGCCCTGCCCCCCGGCCACTCTCCTCCTGCCCCAGTGTGCACTTGGGGGAAGGATCGCGGCAGCTTCACTCCATCCTGGGCTCCCTGGTGCCGCGCATGATGCTGCCCTGGCGGGCAGGTGAGAACACACGCTTGGGGCGCGGAACAATCGGTTCCGGTCACACGGCTCTGTCAGTGGAAGCTGGGATTTGCATCACGTCCTTTCAGACCCTGTCCAACCCTGTCCTAGGACAGCACCCTCCTCTCCGGGCTACTGACGTCAAAATGTTCTTGGTGGTTTTCAGAGTCCCAGCTGAAAGACAACCCCGCGTTCTCCATGCTCAATGACTCCGATGACGATGTCATCTACGGGTAAGTCCCTGTCCTGTGCAGGCTGAGCGCTCGGCCTGGGGTCGCATGTTTACTGGCCAGGTGGTTCATTGTTCTCAAACGGTGTTAGGACGTTTCTCTTAGCTGGCAGGGTCACGGGAGTCCGTGGTTTTGTTTCCGCAACACTCAGGCTCAGAGCGAATGGTATTCTGAACCACCCCAGTGAGTGACGGCCCCAGGAAGGCCGGCCCTTTCTGGCTGACGAGCCCTGGGGACGGGCGGGGGTCAGGGGTGGGCACTGCCAGCTGGCGACAGCAACGGGGCGAGGGAAAGAATGAAATGCGTCCTTGTTAGAAGGGCATGCCAGCGTGGGAGGGAATTAAAAGAGCTGTCAAAAGCAGACTCGTATCAAAGGTCTCTTTTATAACAGGAGTGACTATGAAGAGATGCCCCTGCAGAATGGCCAGGCCCTTCGGGCCCAGTACAAGGAGGGGTCGGACAGTGACTGAGCCGCCGGCGGGCCGGCGGGGAGCTTGCTCCACAGTGGCCGCCCTGGCCTGCTTGCACCTGCCTGTGTTCGCACTTGTCTTACAAGCAGAGATTTCCTGGTCCTTCTTTGTTTACATATTTTTGAAAGGGAAACCAAAACTGAGGACAAACTTTAATGTTGGGCCAAATTTATTGTTAGAGTGGTCACGTTTATTTGGGAAGAGAGGTGCTGATTTGAGAGGCCAAATTGTTTTTCAAAGATTTCAGATGAGAGCGAGCTTGTTTTCAGTGGTAGGGAGGCGGTTCCTTCTCTTTTTAGTACAGAGAATTACGCACTTATTAAAAAAAGTAACTTACCAATTCCCAGCTCCTGGAAAGTCCTTCGGAACAGGGTGCACAGCCCTGTAGCTCCTTCCACCTGCTGCCCCGGGGTCCTGGCTTCTGACCCCGTAAACCCCCCGGGAAGCCTGCTGCTGCAGCTCCCTCACGAGGGCCAGCCCTCCCCGCTGAGCAGCCTGCGCCCTGGGCCACCAAGCGTCGTAGATGACCAGACACTCCTGCTGATGTGAAATGCAGGAGGAGTGGCTCCTGAGGGAGGTGGCAGGCGGGCAGGTTCCAGCCCTCCCCACAGCCCTCCCCAGCGGAACTGGTGCGCGGGGACCTGTGGAGGGCGCACTAAGGCTCCGGAGGAGAGGGTGAGGTCACTGAGAGGCCGCGGCTCCGTCGGCAAAGGTCTTGCTGCCATACGGTTTTCCAGGGGTTGTGTGCGCACGTGTGCATGGGAGTGCGTGAGCGTCGCACGCGTGGATATGGGTGGACGTCCCTGTGGTTGGGCTGGGGAAGAGCGCGTCCAGTAAGAGGGCATTCCTGCCGCTCTGCTACGGGTGAGGCTGAGTAGAGTTTTTTGTTTTTTTAAATAAAAAGTTAAACAAATGACTGATATATTATAGATTCTTTACTGCCGAAAAGTTTTTGTTTCATATTTGGAAACTAGATGAAAGAAAGCATTTTAGATGGTTAATGGAAGCACATCTTTGGGTAGAGGTAGCTCGTTGGGCACGTCTCACGTGGTGGCCAGGCGGGCGGGCGGATCGCGCTGCGGGACAGGAAGTCACGTGGAGCTGCTGTCTGGCAGCTCAGCAGGCCCTGGAGGCTGGGCCGCTCCTCCGGTATAGACGCTGGTGTGCTGTGCCGTGCCGACAGGCTCAGTAGCGCCTCTCTTTGAACTGTTAACACGTGATCCCCACAGACATCCTGCCGGCTGCCCGCTTGGTCTGAGGGGGAGCTGCCCGCTTGGTCTGAGGGGGATCGTTTCCCTCTGCGATCTCCACTCTTGGCTGAAAGCTCGGTTCCCCTCTAGGTGGCGCCGGGACCTTGCAGAGGGGCTCAGGAGACCACTCACGCTGACGCAAAGCTTTTCTTTTTAAACGTGAACGATAACATACCTTTAATATGGATTCCATTTATATGTTTTTAGAACCCTGTAAATATGAATGTTTGGATTAAAACAACTGTATTATTGCAAGGGTAATTTAAGTTTACATGGTTTCTTACGTTTACAATGGTGTGAAATTTTTTTTTTGGATTCTACATACTCAGATATTGAAAAATTTTGTTACCAAATTTTACAACTTCTATTATGACTATAATTTTATGTAAATTGACAAAAACTTGTGCTGATTAATGTATTCTAGTATGTGATACAGTTTACATTTTAATCATTATGGTCCATAATTTGGAGTGCTGTTATCAGTAAATGTAAAATATTTGAGGCTTCTAGTCACACAACTTAGAACTTAACTTTGTCCTATAGTGCAATTTTAAACCGATGACTCGTGTCCTCACATATTGATTCCTCATGGCATCAAGTCAAGGAAATGAACAATGTGCGCATATTTCTTTTTGTGACTAAGTTGGAAACAAAAAAATTACAAAAAAAATAAGGGGGAAATGATTACTATTCATTTTCAGTTTTTCTTCCCGATGTATCATATGTATCAATATATTACCTACTCCATGTAAAATTTTGTTTAAAGTATATTTAGCATGTACTTTATGTGCTCTAGGTGTTAGGTTAAAACACTCAATCTGCCAGCAACTTTAGACAGTAGCAAGACATTCTCTTTTTTCTTGGAGAGCATCACAGTTTTGCAAACTTAAATGACCAATTCAAAGGGCTAACTTTAGTTCTTCCATGCCACCAGCTTGAACAGCATCATCTCTGGGGTGATTTTTTATACTGCTATAGTCCAGGGGACCTGGCAGGTGACTGGAGGTACATCAGTTTCCCTGTGGGGGGGGGCTTCATTGTCCGTGTGCATAATATTCCTGCCTGATTGATTATTCAGTCATTACAGCAGTGAAGTGGTGTGGTTTCCTCTCTCTGAAGCCCCGCCTGAAGGGCTAAGGGGATATACAGAATACATTCAAGACTTGTGAGGCCATTCCTGTACACAATTACAGATTGCAGTAAGTTTAGACACATTATGTACCCCCAGCCTGCCAAATGGGCAGATTATAAGACAAATGTCACCAGCCTCAAGTATGTCATGGACTGAAGGTATAGTTACGCTATATGGGTTGTAACCTGGTCAGTAACTTTCTGGAATCCTTTTCACGGGAAAACAGACTTTCATAGACGTGATGATTAAAAGGGACGTCTAGTGAAGACTAGACTTAAAACAGTAACTTTTGAGGGTTTTAAAACCAGTTGCCTTAGTGGTTAGACTTTTGGGGAAAAAATCTTTTCCCTGGGCCAAAGGGCAGTTGCTTTAGTCTGTGACATCTCGTTAGCCTGTTTATCTTGACTTCCCGTGTTTTATGTATACTGGTAGCGATAATACCGTACTATGAACCACAAGATTTTCTGCTACTGAAAACTGCCTTCTTACAAAGAGTGTAAATATTTGTAAAATAAAACAGAAGTTTAAGCTCAAAAGGGTAGAGCAATGTATTAGATCTTAGAACTGTGTCAGTGAGCACAGCAAACCCAGTCACAGAGTGAGCATTATAATTAAAGTGAATAAATGTTTATTTAAGGCAAACTTTGGGAGTGGCTTCCTTCTGAGACTGCCTTTCTGGTAAGTGTTAACCAGTTTGTAATATATTGGTCTTGTTTTATGTGTATCATTGGCTCTCTGCATGTGGCATTAATTTGACCAGACGTGTGAGCTTTAGGGATGAGGGCAGCAGGGCTTTCTCCTTTCGGCAGGAGGACGAAGAGGCGTGTCTTCATTAACACAATGACGTGGCCCACGGATGAGCAGAAAGATGAGGTCCCAAGACCTGGGTTTGGGGCCCACCTCCTACCTACTTGGCTGTGGCTTGAAGTCAATCAGGTAAACCTTCAAACACATTTTCTATAAATACTGGTGTTAACGGTTGTAGACACGAAATGAACTGCAGAACCATTTTGCAAGCCATGAAGCACAAATGTTTTGAGTGTGCGCTCGCTACTGAGAGCCAGAGACCATGTTGCAGGCTGGGGCCGAGCATGCGCGTTAGAGCGCTCTGGCCGGCGGGCTGGGGCTTGCCCGCTGCCCACCTGCGGCGCCACAAGGGGGACCTTGGGGATGGAGGGCATGCGGCCCGGGGAACCCGGCGCTGCTCCCGCGGGCTGTGTCGCCTGTCCTCGTGCTGGAGAGGACCAGGCTGCACTGCAGCCTCTATGTTTTCATCGTTTACAGTTTTATAGGTGCTAAATATGAAGAATTCATTTGTGACCCTATTTCGACTATGAAGAAAAATACAAACTTAAAGTTGGATTAATTTATTCTAACAAAAGTACAAAGTATGAAAAAGTAGTGTGTTTGAGTCATTTCAGAGAGTAGAGACAGCTTCACGCTAGCAGACTGGAGTGTTTAGCACCTTTGAGCAGAGATTCAGAGTTGAGACAAGTGGCAGCCCCCGAGGACGGTCCCTCTGGCCGAGGGTGTGCTGATTACAGGACGGTGCGCTTATCTGGGTTTCTTCTCCACATTGTCAGAGGGGCCCCCCCACCACCACACACACAAACACACAAACAGAACAGGAAAGGTGTTCACTGAATTCCCGGCTGGCGATTAACGAAGATGGAAGGGAAACGCCGACACGGAGGGAGGGAGGGCCGGGCGGGCAGGTCAGATGGAGAGCCCGAAGGCGCTGACGATGCAGTACATGGTCTTGTTCTCCCACCGCACGGTGCAGCTCCCTGTGGGCAGACGGGCAGCGAGGTCAGCACAACCGGGCCCCTCACGCTCACTCCTCACAGCAAGGCCAGACACCCAAGGCTCTGCCTCTCTGTGGTACACGAAGGCGGCTGGCAAGTCTCTTTTCTGTAAAATGTCTTAAAAGGTGACTCTCACAAACATGCGTTCACAGACACGAAACACCCAAGCACACAGTCCATAACACTGCCCTGGACAGTCTAGACCTCAGCATGATCCAGGAAGGCACTGTGTGACCCCCCGGACACCAGGGGACGGGCACCGTACCGTCGGTAGAGCTGTCCCAGAAGCAAGAGCTCGCCGTGTGCAGTCCCGCTCCATTCTTCTGCATTATCACACAGGTCACTTCGAAGAAAACAGGGTGTGTCAGAAAGCTCTGGGACACAAGGTTGGCTTTGCCCACTTTTAGCACATGTACATTCATGGCATGGTTGATGCTCATGGTACAAATTATAAGCATAGGTCACCAGGTCCTATAAACACTGACAAATCACACGCATCCCTGTCCTTCACTGCAGACTTGTTCTACAGGTGTCTGAGCTGACACCCTGTGAAATCCTGTGGCGTGGGCCCTGCAATTGTCCCAGTAGCCAAACCGGCCAGTTTGTGACAGGACCTAAGATAAAACAAGGTGAACAAGTGACACTTCTACAGGGAACTCTGAGGTTGGGCACCACACTGACACAATCACACTCTTCTGACACGAGACCCGCCTCTGATCAGTATTTGATCAGAGAACCTACACAAATACATACGCGAAGCAAAAATCCATTACCAATGTATTTAAATGGTTTCCCCAGCTTGGTGAGTTGGCTTAAAGTCTGTTCTACCACGTTTGTGGTCCACTGATTCACCTTGCTGTGCTGATAGGCATTGCCTCCGATGGCACTTTCTATAGCCTGGGGAACAAAGTACAGAGGGGTGACTGTTAGCAGAACATGCCCAACGCCCTGCTGTTACTACTGAAGTCCAGCACCCTAAGAACTACTGAAATACAACTGGCATAAAATGTAAGCTTATATGTATCCATAAGGACTTTTGCAAATACAGTCATACTTGGTACTCATCAAACCCTGTACGCGTCACATTTTGACGAAAGAAAAGTTTCAGCGCTCGGCGTTTGCTCAGGACCCGTCACGCTTGCTAGGACTTCTATGAGTCCTGCAAGAGAAGATGTTTCATCCTTCAGCACGCATCACAAGTTCCGGAACAAATTAATGACTAACAACAAGTACCAAGGTACCACTGTACACCTTTTGTTTAATACTATCATATTAACAGTTTTATATTTGTTTTTAAGAATTCGTAATTATACAGGTAGGGTCTGTCAACATTTTGACTGAATTCAGTGTTTACTGTTGCTATTAGCACCTGGAGAAGAGCACTTTCCCCAGGACACCGGAAAGCATTCTCTGGTGCCTAGTCCTTTCTTAAAGTATCGCAGATAGGGGAATCTGTACCAACTGTTTGTACAATTAGCAATGTACAAACCTCTCCAAATAATCATGTCTTTATAAATACTTTATCCAACATTTTCTGGGAATATGTAACCACCTAAGTGCATTTTTTTTTCATGTAACTAAAGGGCCTATCAATGCCAAAACTTAAAGTTCATGACAAATCTTTTTATTATGGGTTTCCTTTTCCCCTCGCGCTCTGCTGCGCTTTGGGGAGGAGGGTGCACTCCGTGCCCGTTAAAGGTTATTCGCGGACACACGGCTGTCCTCACACCTGCTCCTGCTCATGTCCAGAGTCAGAATGTCCCTGTTAGAGGGTCCTCTGGGCCTCCCATGCTGAAGCCGGTATGCCTGCTTCTGACCCACGCTCTCCCCCACCCCTGTTCTGACTTCCAGGCTGGCAACCGGAATCGTTTTAATGATGAGTCATGACCTAAAATAAGGGACCACCACGCTCTGCCCTGACACCCGCAGGGAAAGCAGTGCCAGCACCTGGGTTGCGCCCCTGGTGACGGGGCTGCTGCCTGGGGCACAAGCCCAGTGGGCGTGCTTCTGAGGAACAGAAAGCTACCTGCGGCCACGCCCCGATTCTCCCCATGGAAACCCTGTTTATGCTGGGCCTCCCAGCGGTCACAGTAACACGGGTCATTTGGTGTCCTGCTCTCCCCCCGCCCCCATTTATCACAGCTCCTCCACATTCTCTGCCGCGCCCTCCTCCCGCCCCAGCTCAGAGCACACAAGGGGGCTGGGGGCGTCGCAGCCCCTGGTTTAAGGGGGCCAGGTTACTGCTTGACTGGGGTACTGCCAGGGACCGTTGCGCAGACTAAAGCTCCAACTCCAGGACCCTGCACACACACTCAGGGATGCACTGTTTTTCAGGGAAGGAGAAAAGTCTGCCTCCAATTTTGGACCCACCTGAATTTACTACTAGCCAATACTTAAACTAGCTCGAGTTCAGAGTTAACCTATCACCAGAGGAAAACTGGGGAGGCCCCTGATCTTGGGAAGGGAACACCACTCTGTTACTTGGTGCTTCCAGGGAGACTGGGCAGGTCCACCCTCAACGGTCCCGCTGCCTAGAGACCAAGTCAGAACAAACAGAAAACAAGCGAGGCCAAAGGCGACTCCATAACCAACGCGCTTCCACAGGTCGAGGCAGTTCTCTCACCCCGTTCCTCCCACCCCTTCCGTAAGAAACACTTTAGAAAAAGATGAAAGGCAACTAAAAGTCATGCCCATGCTGAAAAGTGTGTGTGGTAGAGCAAGGTCAGTCCGCTTTCCGGTGATGTTACAAAGGCAGGCGGCAGCCGCCACTGTGCGTCGGGATCGGCTCCAAACCGCGTCCATAGCCCCACAGGGCGCCGCTGAACTCGGGTCACCTGAAGAGCCGCTTCGCGCCGGCTGGCTTCACTGCTCGGCTTACACAGCAGGGGACGCCCTTCCTGCCCCAGGCTCTGCGCCCTCCAGGTGCCCCTCCCGGCTCCCCCTCAGTCCCTCAACACACTGCGCGCCCCGGCACAGGGCCTCCGCACGGGCTGTCCCCTCCCGGGATGTCTGGTCCCTCTGCTGAGTCAGTGCTCCTCCTCGCTCCGGGGTCCGGCCTGGAACTCGCCAGCTGAGCCGCACAGGCAGCGCAAGCTCACGCTTCCCCGTGGGGTTTCCCGGCGCACCTGTCTGCCTTCCCCGCCCCAAACTGGGAGCTCCTTGAGGATCGCCCCCTGCAGCCCTCCTCGGCCTCTACTTTTTGTAGTAAGTGAAGAACAAATAAACCTTTTTTGTCTCCCCTTCTCATTATCTAAGGGAAACCCCATGGTCAACAATGGTAAAGTGGGTAGTTTAGGAACGTAAGAAAAAGTCACCAGGTCTTAAGTTGTTCAGTTCCTTACATCGACTCTTCGTAAAACACTGGAAACATATACTTGTATACTATGAGTCTTTTATCCTAAACGGTTATAGAATCAAGCCTTAGTGACACTCAATAATAATGCTAGGATAGCTAGTATACAAAGTTCCCTGTCTGATTCAAAATATATAATTTACGTAATATGGGAGTAATTCTTATTTAGATATTCACTGAAGTAAAAACTGTTATTTGAAATGCCAAAACACAGGCTGCGTTGAAACAATTCCAAGACTGTACTTAAAACACATTATTCTCGCTCTTAAGCCATTAATCAAATATTCAGAAAGCAGCCATCTCCCCTCTTACCTCCTTTACAATGTTGCTCACTTCGTCAACAACAAAAGCAGTCTGTAGGGAAGAAAATAAGCAAAGTTTGAGTGATTTAAAACTCATCCTCTGGAGCACTGATTAATACAAAGTTAGGTAATGAACATACTTTAGAAATGAAGACCTTAGAAATAATCCAACCAGACTGTTCACTTTACTGAGGAAAACATTACAAAGAGAAGCGGAACGTGGCTCCCTGAGGGTCACAGACCTGGGAGCGGCATCAGGAGACTACAATTCCCATACGTATGATTTAAAGGTGTTTGGTTTTGTTTTTGTTGTAATCACACCAGGATCCAAACGACGGACTGCAAACTAGAATTTAATCTCTCCATCCATTTCAACAGGCCCCTAGGACCACTGACATATCCCGAAGTTTAACGCGTTACTTGACTTGTGTGTGAATTAACTGACCCTTTTCCTGATGTAAACTGACTCGGAGGCTTGCAACTTCAGACAGACGTTTGGGGTTTTTCCCTCTGTGCAGTCCTACTGCGGGACCGCCCCCCCAGCTGCTAGCACGGTCGCAGAGGGTCAGGATGGGCAAGGTGGGCTGCCAGCCAGTGCTAATCTAGTGCTGGGAGCTTATAGAAGGTTTCCTTCCTTTCTTTCTACATGCAGTGCACAAGAACAAGTATAAGTTTCATCCAAGTGCTGGGAACGGCACGCAGTCTCCGCCGGGCCTTCCGGAGGGCAGCCCCAGGCCCTCGGTCGGCGTGCATTTGAGGAAATAGAGGCAGGAAGCCCTGCTGCTTTCTGGCTGTGAGTTTTCGCCCCACCGGTGATGGCCACTGACCACCCTGTTTTCGCAACGCCCTTTTCTTCCAGCAGGTCCAAGAGCTGCCAGCCTGAAGCCCTCGCACGTGCCCTGCTCAGAAGTCATGCTCAGAGACAAAGCTAATACAGTCGGTTAATGAAAATTCGCAGTATCTTAGAGATTAAATTATTTCTCAGAGTTTAGAGGATCCTTCCAAGGAACGTCAATGATCCTAAACCATCCAGGAATGTCCCTGTGTAACTTTCCATGTGGTCAAGACATGAAAGAGCTCAAGGGCCGTTTCAGTGACCTTTCAGTGGAAAGCAGAGCAGTGGCACAGAACCCGCTGGGCACTTTCGGCTTCTGCAGGAGAGACGAACAGTGAGCTGAGCATGGTCAGGTTAGGGGATGGGCGCGCAGAAAGGGCTTCAGTGCAGACTGCGCCAGAAGGGCGGCACCATCACACGTGCCTGCGAGAAGAAACGGTCGTGGTCCCGTCCTGGCGGGGCTGCCCCTCGTGTAAAGCACAGATCACTCTGTCCAGCCCCTTCGTTTCACAGACACTCCCGTCGCGATCTGGGACAGCAAAGCCAAAGCCACCTCGCTGGCAGAGCAGAGGCTTCCCTGCCAGGGCGGAGGGCATTCCCTTACCCTGCCACTTCCTTTTTCAGTGTCACTCGGTGTCACCTGCAATGCGCGCCATGCCCCAACTCTCCATCAGTTACCAGGTTGCAGGGAGCAGCGCCGCTCTGCCAGCTGCCCCTGCCTCTCACAATTACCCCCTTGGCTGCTGCCGACACTGCTGGCTCAGAACCAGGATCCCAACGGAAGCTCCAGGATCAGTCCTTACACCTCCGATTTCCAACCCCCCCCCCCAATACAAGCCTGCTTAAACTAAATTTCAAAAATGGTAAAACATCAAACCTACCAAATTTACCCGTAGTGTTTATTTCTGACAGGCTGCACGATACCTGAGGCTCGATTTACTTGAATTTCCACCACTCATTTAGCAAGAAGGAAACGGGCAACTGTCCTACAGCCGCAGCCTTCACCAGCTACACGCAGCCCCCGGGAGCTTCCCCGCCCGGAGACAAGCCTTTTAGCAGCACACCGCTGCCGTGGGCGTCTTCTGCTGGGCAAACACCTGTATGCTTCACCTGCTTCTCCACTGAGGCAGTGAAATGCCCCCGCCCCAACACACACACACGCGCGCGCGCGCTCGCGCGAGCTGGCTCGCTGCAGTCTCAGGCGCCACCTGAAAGAGCCACCGGCGGGCAGGCGCGGAACGAAGGACAAAGGCAGGTTCTGCGACCGTGCACGTCTGCGCCCTGCAGACAGCCGAGCACCCAATCTGGGTCTGATGGGACTCTACGTGCGTGTCACACGTGTCTGTCACCCTACAGTGGGGTCGGCATCAATGAATACGAGCAACGAGTGACTTTTCTCCCGGCGTGCAGGCCGGGCCGGCAGGGGCGGGGCGGGGCGGGGCGGGGCGGGGCAGGGCAGGGCAGGGGGTGCGGAGCGCACGCGGCGCGCGCCGCGCGCCGCGCAGGGGCCCCTCCGTCGCCCCGCCCCCCGGCAGGTCGACCACACCCCGAACGGGCCGGCCCGGGTGACGGCGAAGTGCTCGGCCTTCAACCCGCGCAGGACACGGCCGCTGCCCACGTCCAGACGCGGGCCGGGCGCTCACACACGTCCTTGGCTGCTGCTGCGCACCCGCGCCGGAGCTCCCAGCCGCCACCCTTCCCGTCGCGGACCCGGCCGTTACCTCTTCCGCACCCTGGAAGTCTTCCATCTTCCCTCCAGCGCGTCGCCTCCGCCTCCCGGAGCGGAGCGCACTGCGCCGGCGCACTTAGGCTCCGCCCCGGAACGGACCCGCCCCTCCAAGCCCCGCCCCTCTAGGCCCCCTCCCACGTCCGCGCGAGAGCCCAACCTGTCGCCTAGGGGCTCTGCCAGGCGGGCGCGCCGGGCGGAATTCGGGACTATGCCCACCTCTCCTCCTCCCCGGGCGGTGGTCTCCGCGGGCGCCCGCCCGAGTAGCCTGGCAGCTGACTGGACCGCAGCCCCTGAAACAAAACGAATGTACAGGGCCAGTTCGGGAGGGAGGAGTCAGCCTGGCCCTTTCCTCCCGCTTGTACTGGGCTGTGTGGCTCCGTTTGAATACTCAGACGGGCTTGGACACCTCGTAACAAATTGTAATGTGACTTCGAACCTTGCTGGGCAGCGTAAGATATTGGTTACAGTTCCCCTGGGGGGCCAGGGTTAGGAAACTTCAGCTCTAATAGAAACCTTCCTTTAGGGAGGCAAGTTTTCCGTATCAATTATTTTTATTTTAAGCACCATTGGAAAAGAAAAAAAAAAAAAAACATTTTTCGGTGGAAAGTATGTAAAACGCTGCACACTTCCTGGCTGCCTTAACCAGAATGACCGAGACGCACACTTGACTTGTGTACAGGGGTCTTTATGAAAATTAGTCACTGGGTTCAACTAATAGGGAAAATTAGACGCACTCTGGGACAGTGGTCCCCAAGAAGGGCTGGGCTATAGGTACCTACCCGCAGGGGCTCTGAGGCTAAGATCTCGACTTTGCCTGCTCTTTTCTCTGGCGGTACCAGGCCCTTGAAGTCAATCGGTCACTTCTTACCTCTCCAAAGCACAGCTGTGAAAACCCACTCCCCACCCTCCAGGAAGGTCTGGCCACAGGGCCCTGAGACCCGTGGAGTTAACCTTCACTCCACCAGTAACCCCTATTGTTTCAACCCTAAAGAATCTAATTTATTCACTGGTGTATCCCCTGCCTCTTCAGGTGCACTTGGCACATAGTAGGTGCGCAGTGAAAATCTGAATGAAAGAAAGCATGCTTTCCCCGCAGATGTCAGCTGCGCCTCATACCCAGCTGCAGAGACCTGGCCCGGAGGGTGAAAGATGCAATCGCCTGCCTCCTTGTGGGAAACGGGGGTGGGGGGAGGAGGGGAGAGCCCGAGGGACACAGGCTGCACGGCCCTGGACGTCTGGCCTGAGCAAGGCAGCCTGCCGGTGGGGACCTGGAGCTCTCCCACCGCTGGTCTCTGCTTCTCAGATCCTGAACTTTCTTTACTCTTTAAGTTTTCCTCTCTTCCTATTATCTGACTTCAACTCTCCCGTTCCATATTTCAGTCTTGTGTCTCAGTGTACCTATGAGTCTAATTCTCACGTGTCTTTGTTTTGTCTTCCTAACATTCCCAGCCTCCCCTGGGGTCCATTTGAGGTGTTCTTCATGGTCACTTGACCCCACCTGCCTGGTCCTGGGGTCCCCCACGGCACCATGCCCCCCATGCTCCCTATGCTCCTGAGCCAAACAGGCGCCTTTTCAGTCTCTTCTAATTTTCTCCTCAGCTGTGGACGTGAGGGAGCTAGTGCTTCAGAAAGGTGTGCAAAGCAAGAGTGAACAGGCGAGCATCTTCAGTGAAAGACAGTGAAATTTGGGACATATTTTTAAAATTGTTCCACAGCCTTTTAAGAACTTTCAAATCCAAATGAATGTCCTGAGTGACTCTGGGACAGTGCACTGGTATCTCAGAGACCTGGTGGCAGTGGAACCGAAAATCACCGCATATGCAAAATCAACAGAAAACATGTAAATGTGAGTTTTAAAAGATTTATATGGCTTCGCTGATATGCACTGGGTACCAGTCCATTTTTAACTATCAAAGAACAGTCATGAAGTGCTCGTGGTATATGCCATACTGTGTCTGCCCCCGCAGTGGATAAATGGGTCTGTTTGTCTTCTCAACTATCTCTTCACTTTTTTTTTTCCCACACACATGCAGCGAGCACTCACTTTGTGTCAGCCTCTGAGCTGGACCCACGGCAACAAAGTTGACTAAGATACGGTCTCTATGGAGACTTTTTTAAACTATGTTTCTGCAAACAGGAGGTTGGATTCTCCAGGCCCTGTGACGCTGTCCTGCTTGGGAAGATGCAGCTATAGGACGTTGTACTCTGCCTGATGAGCACACGCACTAGGGCTGAGGCGTTTCAAATTGCCGGGGCACTTGGTCCACTAGCTGCCACTCCGAGCAGCACTGACTGCCCAAGAATGAGTGTCCACCAGACACGTGGCCATTCATAAATTGCTCAGATTCAGCCATATTTCAGAATGTTTACTTGCTGCACAGTAAGTCAGTGGAGTGAATCTTAGGTTTGTTTTTTCAATTTGGGACTTAGCTGTAGACTGGTAGATACTGCATGCTTTCTTCCTTCGAGTCCGGCCTCTTAACTACGGACTCTGTAGAAATAGGGGTTGGTGTTTCCAATGCCTTTACTTAGCAAGTGTGGGCCTAACAGCCCCAGCCATGTCACCTCAACAGCCACACTTGGGTCTCGCAGCGTCGTCTGTGGTGCACACTCCTTTGCCGTCTGGCTCCGACCCTGTGGATGTTCCAGCTTTCTTTTCCCTGTGCTCAGGAGTGTGTTACTGCAATGCGCCACGGAGGCATGGTAAGTCAATAATAACAATAATAACAGCAACAACACAGTGAAGCTGGTGATGCCAAAAGAACCTAGTCTCAGCCATTGAATGCTGTCAGAAACAGAAAATGCAACGTGTGGCTGACACATTTCTGAAGTGAGAATCCTGAGCTGAGAAATCACACACTAACGAGATGCCGTCAGCCGGGAAACACGGGCACCGGGGGACTGAGATACCTCCCTACCAACCGGACACTGCTGTCGCTCTGCGGCCCTGGGCACCACCCCCGCCCCGATCCTGGCTGCCCCGCCCCTTCCCTCAGACCCCATCCCCAAGATTAACAACTAAAGGATAACTGGACGCATAAGCAGGGGCCTTCAGCTGGTATATCTTCTGACCAGTGGATTTTTATGCGAAAATTTTTATGCGGTGGGTAACAGTTCTGTGTGTGTGAACAAACACGCACACTGTCCACCAGCGTAGGCTCAGCTGCAGAAACAAGTGACCCTAGACTCTGGGTCATTGACGACAACAAAGTTGTATTGTCACTCACACTGCATGGCTGTGGAGGGTCTGCTTGGCTCTGCCCGATGTCCCCTCCCTGCTGGGACCAGGCTGGTGGAGCGGGGTGACTCGAGTCATCCAGGGAGAGAGAGCGGGGGCGGGGGGGCGGGGGCGAGCGTTGGCTAGGAAGGTGCTGCTCCTAAGTGGCAGGTGTCGCCTGTGCACACATTTTGTTGCCCGGAGCAAGTCTCCTGTCCCTGCCTGCGTTTACAGGGCAGGGACACCAAAGGGAGGAAGTGCTCCAACCCTCCGCCCACAGCGCACATGAGGTTTCCCTCGGTGACTTAGCGCCTTCACGCCCCCTTTGCCTGACCGGCCCGCGCGTCCACTCGGTGGCCCCCCGGCCGCCACGGCTGTCTGGTCTCATTCCCGGGCGCCCCATGTCAGCCCGCTTACTCTCAGGTGCGACCTGACTGGCCCGCCCTGTGCCAGTGCCCGGGCTTGTCCCATCTGCGCCAGCTCTTCCCTGTGCGCCCCGGAGCCCTAGATCGGTGGGGTTTTTTTACCGTTGGTTTGTTTACTTTTAATTATATTTTTTTGCTTGTGCTATTGCAGTTGTCCCAATTTTTCTCCCTTTGCCCCCACCCCACCCAGCATCCCCCACTCCCTCAGGCAGTCCCCCCACCACTGTTCATGTCCATGGGTCACGCATGTAAGTTCCTTGGCTGCTCCGTTTCCTGTACTGCATTTCACATCTCCGTGGCTGTTCTGTAACTGCCTATTTGAGCTTCTTAATCCCCTCCCCTCCTCACCCATTCTCCCCCTCCCCCTCCCCATCTGGCAACTATCAAAACACTCTCCGTATGCATGATTCTGTCTCTGTTTTTGTTTGCTTAGTTTGCTTTTTAGACTCAATTGTTGATGGATTTGTATTTTTTGCCATTTTATTGTTCATAATTTTGATCTTCTTTTTCTTAAATAAGTCCCTTCAACATTTCATATAATAATCGTTGGTGATGATGAACTCCTTTAGTTTTTCTTGTCTGGGAAGTTCTTTATCTGCCCTTCAATTCTAAATGAGAGCTTTGCTGGGTAGAACAGTCTTGGCTGTAGGTCCCTGCTTTTCATGACTTTGAACATTTCTTGCCAACCCCTTCTAGACTGCGAAATTTCTTTTGAGAAATCAGCTTATAGTATTATGGAAACTCCTCTGTAAGTAACTAAGAGTTTTTCTCTGGCTTCAATTAAGATTCTCTCTTTATCTTTACCCTTTGGCATTTTAATTATGATGTGCCTTGGAGTGGGCCCCTTTGCCTCCATCTTGTTTGGGACTCTCTGTGCTTCCTGGACTGGCATGTCTATTTCCTTCACCAAATTAAGGAAGATTTTTTTCATTATTTTTTCAAAAAGATTTCCAATTTCTCGCTCATTTTCTTCTTCTGGCACCCCCATGAGGCAAAAGTTGGACCTCTTGAAGTTGTTCCAGAGGCTGCTTAACTACCCTCATTTTGGGGGGTTCTTTTTTCTTCTTGTTGTTCTGATTGGTTGTTTTTTGCTTCCCTAAGTTCCAAATCATTGATTTGATTCTCTGCTTCATCTATTCTACTGTTGTTTCCCTGTAAATTGTTCTTTATTTCAATTAATGAATCCGTTGTTTCTGACTGGGTCTTTTTAATGCTGCTGAGGTCCTCACTAAGTTCCTTGAGCATCCTTATAACCAGCGTTTTGACCTCTGCATCTGATAGATTGTTTCTCTCCTTTTGTTTAGTTCCTTTTCTGGAGTTTTGATCTGTTCTTTCATTTGGGCCATGTTTTTTTGTCTCCTCATTCTGGCAGGTTCCCTGTGTTTGTTTCTATGTATCAGGTAGAGCTGCTTTGACTCCGTGTCTT